TTCCCGACGTTTTTCCTACCCTCCATAAACTTCTTAAACCACTCGAAAACTTGCGTGCGAGATAGACACTGATCACCATATACTTCTGTCAACAAATTGTAAGTTTCAGTGGCAGATTTTCCAAGTTTTGTGAGGAATTTGATGTTAGCACGTTGTTCTGCATTAGCACTCAGCATTATTCCGACGGAGCTCAGAAACACGATCCGCTTCTAACAATGGTCGCGGCCAGACTAACCGATGCACGTGAATGAAACTTTGTGTGACGGTAGAGGGAAGTCCAAGGGTCAATGCCCTACCCTCCTCTTCGTCAATGACGTGGCCGGAAATGAGTCATAAAAGTAATCCGGGTTCTTTATTGCCACACCTTGTAAATTATGGGAAAACCTTAAATCACCGATAACCATTGTATACTCATGACCCTGACCACTATACTAATCCTTTCACAGAATTAGAAGATGCAGCTAAGAGCTTGTTAGTTACAAAAGTCCCATATGTAATGAAATGTTTAATATCTCCATTTGGGTCAGTGGATTTGACCACTAATCTGAAAAAATCATAGGTGGAAGGAGATTAACACTGAGACAATGGGGATAAGACTACAGAAATTGATTGTTAAATGGGGACTCTTAACTTGAGAAACAGTGAATGGGGTTCTGTTATATTTACCTTATTACTATACTTTGCTTCTTTTTCCCCATTTCAGAATTGCCCAGAAAATCAAAATACTATGGTGTGGTTCAGAAAAAAATATTTTCTAAATCACTGTGTGCCCTGTATATTGATGCATCTAGAACAAATATGATATTTTATTTTGCCTTAAATATTCTCCAGTAATATTTGGCCTATAGCAGGTTTGCAGTATGGAAAATATGTGCAGTACCATTCTAATTCTTATTAAGAGTACAGTCTTCTGGGTTGCAATATGAATTTTTTCCTGAACTACGCAGTGCTACATCTTGAAAGACTGTACTCTTCATAGTCACTGCTGTGAGAGCCTTAAGTCAAGCTCCACTAATCAGGATAACTCAGTGACAGTACATACGACTCACATTTGAGAGCTATCCAATTTGAATCCTGTCTATGTCCAGGCTGACTGCAGTTTTTCCAGTTCCCTCCAAGCAGGTTCTGGGTGAGGACCTTCCACTGAGCCAGACCTTCCTTCCAAATTCCTCCCAATTCATCATCCTCATTCACTTCGCGATTCTCGATTAATCCTGCATATCCTCCATGATTGATTCTGTACCATGAAGTAAGAGTGAATGTCATTGTTTCCTGGTTCTGTTCGCAGGCCGATCCATCTTCCTCTGAAGTCCATGATCACCTTTGGCAGCTTCAGTATCTCCAGCAATATTGCAGCACAAACAAGCTCTTCCACCCTGCGCTTTATGGCAGAAGATGCCGCCTTATTTATCTCTAACAAGACTGGATTAAGGCATCTCTCGTCACCCGTAGATCTGCAAAAAGACTACGTGTGTGTACTGGACTTGGGGCTGTTCGAGCTTTCGCTGAGGTTGTGCGACAGACGAGGAGAGCAAAATAAAGGCAGTCCAAGAGTTGATCTTCGCGCATCTAATAATATCCTCCATGTCCGAACTTGTGCAGACTCAGGAAAAGCTTTAACTGATTTGTTGACCTACTTTGCCTCAGATGGTGATCTCATATCAATGGATGAGAGTGAAAAGTCTGAAAGTACTGTGTCTAGTGGAAGTGCAAAAGTGGACCAAATGCTCATAAATATGAATGTGGTTGACAGTAACCAAAATAATGCTCATAATCTCTCCAAGTCACAAGTGGAACATGTTCATGACATGATGGAGGAAGCTATGAGGGACACAAATGGTATCCACTCAAATGGAAGATCAAGTAAATATTTTATCATTAGTTTTATTATTTATGAAAGTAAGGCTGTGACAGGAGGTGGGAGAAAACTGCATAATGAGGAGCTTCATAACTTGTACTCTTCTCCAAGTATAATTAGAATGATCAGGTCAAGGAGGATGAGGTGGTTAGGGCATGTAGCATGAGTGGGGGAGAAGAGGAATGCATGTAGGATATGGGAAAGCCAGAAGGAAAGAGACCACTGGGAAGACCAAGGCATAGGTGGGTGGACAGTATTAAAATGGATCTTAGAGAGATAGGATGGGATGGCATGGATTGGATTGATCTAGCTTAGGATAGGGACCAGTGGACGGCTCTTGTGAACACGGTAATGAACCTTCTGGTTCCATAAAATGCTGGGAAATTCTTGAGTAGCTGCACAACTGGCGGCTCCTCAAGAAGGGCTCAGCTCCATGAGTAAGTCATGAGTAAGGCTTTGTCATTAATCTTTTGTATGTGTGTAGCAGATTTATGTTGGTTAATGTAGAATTCCGAGTGAATATGTCTATACTCAAGGTAAAGTTTAATAGGGTTCTCACTTTCCCACAGTATAGAAAGAATGCAGAGGGAAGGGTTATGGGTGCAGATCCTCATGAAGTGTTTGAAATGACACACAGAAATTGTTTTATTGGATCAGAGAGAGGATGAGGACTAGCATATCACATTTTTCTGAGCAGAATGCTATGCAGAAGCAAGCAATTGCAGGGCATGTTTCATTAAACATCAGCCTTAATGAATATGTTTATCAGTCCTACATTTTATATTGTACAAGCTCAAATGTATAGACATCTGACCACAGTTTGTTTTTTATGTTATCTGTTCATTTATTAATGCCTGTAATGAATACAAAATGTATGTGCGTGCATGCAAGCATGGGGAGGAGGAGGAAGTTATTGTTAGCCATAGGAGTGAGGAGGTCGCCTCTGTGGTCTAGTGGTCAGAGTTCCTAGCTACAGATCCAGAGGTCCCGGGTTCGATTCCCGGCTCCACCAGATTTTCTGAGAAGTAGCAAGTCTGGAAGGGGGTCCACTCAGCCTCGTGAGGATAATTGAGGAGCTACTTGAATGGAAAAGGAGCAGCCCCAATCTAGAAAACCGAGATTAACGTCCATGGGAATCCTTTGCGCTGACCAAATGACAACCTCTATCCGCAAAAAGTTGGCACTAACTTTGCCGACAAGCGGCGGTTGCTCAGTAAGTATAGTTTGCTTGCAGACTAAAAGTCGCGGAGTAGGAGGGACTAAGGACTGAGGCTTCAGATGGATCTGTTGTACCACCCCCTTAATGAGAAATGAGTAAGGAGCATGGCTGAAACAATAATTGACATGGGGAAACTGAAATGCTCAGAGAGAAACCTCCCTGAGTGGCCACTATTTCATTACAGATTCCACATAAAAGTATTCTGAAATTGATCCCAGGCCTCCGTGGCGACAAGCCATTGATTAACCACCTGAGCTAGGCCATGACCAAAAGTAGTGCTTGATGTAGCGTACTGCCAGAGAAAGAGAAGTTCTGGTTTTGCTCATTTAGTCTTTACATGTTTCCTGTAGGATCTCCACGGTCACGTCAGAACAGACAAGGAGTGGAAGTGTTTTTCTTCCCAGATGAGAATCATCCACTGTCTGCTAGACCTTTAAATGATTCTGAGCTGTGTCAGGCCATGGATGATGATGAGGGTGATGTGGAGGAGGACTTCTTTTTTGTCGATAAAGAAGCGGGCTCTGGAATCATGGTGAATAATAATTATTAAATTTAGTGACATATTTGTGTGCGTGATTTTCTGTAATAACAATTCCCACATTATATTCACCAGACACAACTTTAAAGTTCAACCAGTGTCTCAGGTTTTGTTTCTTCTGAGTGCTGATATTCCTTCCTGTCCAGTAATTCTCTTTTTTTTTAAATTGAAGTCATTAAATTTTTTTTTAACATTTCAAATGGGCTTTTAAGAGCTGAGAAGTAATACTCAAATGTCTTTGCAGAACAAGAGATCTGGTCCCAGGATGTAACACTGAACTCTGATTAAGACAATTCTTAGGTAATCCCTACATATATCACATAAAACTTAAATGTCATTGAAATACCCTTGTTTTAGCTTCAAAACGGCCTACCTGAAATCCGAACACTTACCCAAGATCCAGTGCGAGTAATAGATAACCACTTCTCAGTACCGATGGGGAAGACGGACCAGCTGCGTGCTCCAGAACACTTTCCAGATGCTGTGCTTCGCTATACACTCTGTGAGATGACAGTCGTCTGGCACATGTATGGAGGTCAGGACTTCGGTCAGGCACCAGCTCAGAATAAAACACAGAATACCAAGAAACAGGTCAAGATCGATGATAACTACAGAACAGGATGGTAACTAACCTTTACTAACCTGTGTGCAGTTGCTAGTATATGCATTTTATGAAGGGGGTGAGTTACATTTACAGGGTTAGCCAGAAGAAGAGTTGGGATTTCATATTGTTATGTTTTCTAAACTATTATGGAAAACAGTTTTTATCTTTCATGTTGGATGTTTACGATGAACATGGCTCAACTTAATGTTACTCTCTTCTAAACATACCATCAGTATGTTTTGAGTTGGATTTGAGGTTCTTAGGCTGATGACTCTAAATGAGCACTGTTTTTGTGGAATGTGATGCCGTATAGTCTGGTAGTTTACCTTTCCAGAGGAGCATACCATGTCCATCAGCAGAGTCAGAGAGTAAACCAATGAAGCAACTAGCAAGAATAAAGGAGGGCGCTGTTTACTCTTCGACCCTGAAGATGGAGGCATTACATTCCTCCAAGAAATCAGTAAACTTCTACCAGACTACACAGCATCACATGCAGAGAATAACACTCTTCGGTATGTTTTAGGATTTCAGATGAAGGAACAGTAAATAGTAAACCTTAATCAGGCATAGCATTGTCTACCAGAATGCTAGGAAACAATGAACGTATGAATGTGCAGTAGTGTTTCAAGAAGTTCATAGTAATCATCCAAGAGAGTGAATCATCATTAGGGCACAGTTTAAGGAAAGATTTGCTGTTTTCTGTTCAAAGTCTAGTTTGTGTAAGAAATTCTTGCAGCAGATTTTGAAATTCACGTGAAAACTGATGGGACTTGTTACTAAGGTTGAAGACTTAATTTTTCACTTTGTATGATGTAGCTTAACACAGTTGTTGGATATTTAACATGAATCCCACAATTGTCTGATCAATTGAGTGGCAGGGTGGGACTCTCGTGATGCGTAGTTATACAAGAGAATACCATTAGATTGTCCATCTGTTCATCATGAAAGTTCTAAATCTCAATCTCCAACCTGAAGAAATTCTGTTCTATTAATACTTTAGTAAATATAACATAATACTAAATCTCTACACTTCTTTCGCTGAGCTATGTACTTGTATGTACCTTCCTTCATTTTCTTCCATTTATTCATTTCCTTTGATACCAAATATGACCCTGCACCTGTTTTGCAGGGGGGGAGATAAAGGCAGTCATTGTGTTAACTTAGCCATTTGATGGCCGCGCCATAAATCAAGCGGTTAGTTGCTGGCTTCCCACTGTGGCGGCCCGGGTTTGATCCTGGTTCTGGTCAAGTGCAATCTGTGGTGGACAAAGTGGCGCTGGGGCGGGTTTTCTCCGAGTACTTCGATTTCCCCTGCCAATCTTCATTCCACCATATTCTCCATTATCATAATCACCCGGGGCAGGTACAGTAGGGCAATCGGTGGCCGCCGTGCTGAGTGGACCCAGTTGGACTCCACTCCCCACTTAGCGAATTTAAAAAACCCTAGCCATTTGCATCCGTCCAATACCAAGGTTAGGAATCCATGCATGTTACATGCCTTAATGGATTGGTGTTAGCACAGGAATAACTTCACTACCTTTACATTTGCCAACATTTGAATATTTCCTATAGTATTAGGGTTGATCCATGTATGGTATTTACAAGGAACTGGGATATTTTGCCAGATGTACACTTAGTCTGTCTGGTGCCCCTGGATCCAAGATGATGTCTTTATAATCTACAAACCTGTAAGTAATTATGGTGGAAGTAATTATTATGTGATTATAAGCTGTGTAAATATGAGAGGGAGTTATATTAGGGGGATGCTGTAGTGTGAGTAAATGTAACCAATAGAAATTAATTTTAGAAGCTTGGGGGCACTATCCCACATTTGTAGATATGGTGATACTGGAAAAGTATGGCTCTCTTCTTGAATACAATGACAAACAGCATGGATATGTTGTATTAGTATTGGAATTATTGAATAATGTACAGTATAATTAGTATCTAATATCTGTTGAAGGTACAAGGCACAGTATTTTAGTGGATAATGTAAATAACTGAATAATGTTTGGGTTACAAATGCAGCTGGATAATGATGTTAGTGCTCAAGACAATAATGACTGCTCGTCACTTGATTCTGATAGTACTAATATACATAAGGAAATTTTTTTTTTTTTCAAGTTTTTGGTCCCCTCCCCCCTGTTTTCTGGGATGTATTGCTGTGAAGCCTGGTGAAAATCAGCTGACATTTCAGATGAATATGTTGCCTCCATTACGAGTCTTGAAGAATTAGCCAAGCAAGAAACCAGCATGAAACAGGCTTACTGCATGTTGTTATACCCCATAAGATAGAACTCTTTGTAGGCAACACTGTGAGAACCTCGAATCCAGCTTGGTATGAATTTTAATTATTTTTTTCATAACTAACAGAAGCAGAGATTTTGTGTAGATTAGTAAACTTTCGAAATTGAAGTACTGCTTTAATATAATTCCATAAATGTTTGGTTAAATGCAGAGGCTTAAGTAGTGGTCTGTGCTTCTGATTGTAGTTGGTTACAAGTGCTGACATTGTAAGTGCAGTGAAATGTGTGTTTAAAGTTTCTCTGGAAGTATGTGAAACTGATGGGAACCATAAATAGAGTAAGTTTATCATTAATATAGTGGGAACCATAGAAATTAAAGATCAAATAAATGAAAATAAACTGAGAAACATTGCATGGGGATTCCATTATTATAACCCAGGCAAATATACAAACATTGTGCCATGTTAGAAGAGGGTAGGTAGTATGCTTGATTACACAAACTAAATCTGAAGTTACACATTTTCTTACAGCAGCAGTTGTCCATCCTCTCCGCCTTTCACAACGCACCATTTTGCTCGTTCACCCAGCGATACTCATATTGGTGGTGGGGGCTTTGTAACATACTCAAAATCCAGTCCTCTTGAGGTAAGGAATGAATTATTAGAAAAAGCTTAGTGTACAAAGTCTTCAAGTTGACCAGCTTAGCAGTAATGTGACTTACTTTTGGGAGGTACCTGGTTTGAATCTAGCCCAGAAATTGGTATCCTCAATAGGGTTTTCCTAGTTTTTGTCAGTCCCTCCAGTACCTTTAAATAGTCCATAATGTGGCCAATTCGACCCACATTCCTTCTGATTCCTTATTCACATTCATTGTGCAATATCTCAGCACTATATTATGTCCGAAATTGTGGCAGCATTGGAAAATAAAGAACCAAACTTATACAGAGCCCACCTAATCAGTCATAACAGTTTGATTTTTTATGGTCTTCTGTTTAGACAATATTGCACCATGACTATTAATGATCTGTTGTATCGCCCCCAGCAATTCTACACTAATTGAAATGTAGTAAAAGTGTCTGTTAATTGTCTTTTGCCATAATTATGTTAATATGTTCTGTTCATTTGAATATTTTCTGTCTAATGTTATTTTCATGATTCTTCATTGAATATTTAAATTGTATCTTCATAATACACTTTTTTCATTAAAGAAACAGAATAATTATAATAGCATAACAACAAGTAAAAGTAAGTAAAGATATCCCTGTAACAGGCCGTGGAGGCCCATAGGGTTGTGATGTTGAGGTTCCCACATTTTCTAGACAGTCGGCTCATAGATGGCGGTAAGGTTGTCAGCCTTACGTGCCGGCTGCCCTTTACCCCCAAGAATATTCCTGGTACTCATTTCTGTTAGAGAGTGAGTCAACCCCAGGGCCATAGTGTGGCGGGAAGGATTAGATGAATTGAAAAAATCCACCTCATCAGGAATCGAACCCGCGACCTTCCGGCTTGTATCATAGTGCCTCAACCAACTATGCTACCACATACCCCAAGTGTTTATGGTAATGAATTAATATAAATATATACCAATTTTTACAGATTCGGTTTGAATCATGTAGCCCATCATTCAAAAGTCCAAAGGTTGCAGCAGCCACCACACATTTAACGTGGCAGTCCCGTGGAGGCCCTGGACGTCTTCATGATGTCCTCATGGAATTGCAGCTGAACAAGGTAAGTTCTACATTGTCATGTAGAGTAGCTGCAGCAGCATTTTTATGCCCAGAATGTCTGGATTGCAACCACTGTTGTCCATATTGGTATTTATTTCCTCAGTTCTCCTAGATATGGTTGAGCTTGTACTATAAAATGGATCAAGACTCATTTCCTAATATGAGCCAGGATAGATCAGTCAGTATAATTACACACTACTGGCTGGATGTCCAGGTTTTGATTTCCGTCAAGAGCGAGACTTCTCTCTTCTTCATAATGTCCAGACCAGCTCTGGGGTTTACCCAGCGTCCCATCCAATGGACCAGTTTGGATGCTATGGAAGAGAGAAAAATCTTGTCGCTTTCAGGATTCAAATGCCAGTCATCCAGTGTGTAGCCCCATCACTATACTGACTGAGCTGTATATGGAATTAATCAGGTGACAGTATTGTTGTACCATGAGTGGTAGGTAGTTTGGTGGACGGGTATCAAGTTTTCAGTTAGTTTTATGTCATATATGATCATTGCCATCACCTCATATGTTTGTTCATGATATGTTCAGGTGAAGTTCAGGCATGAGGTATATCCTGCTGAGGCCAAAGAGGCTTCTCGGCAGATACTTCTGGTGAGTGATGTCGAGGTCAGGGACCGACTTGCCTCATCACAGATCAACAAGTTCCTTTATCAATATTCCAGCGAATCCAGTCCGAAACGGTCACATGCAAATATGGTAAGAGCATGTAGGATATGAGGTTGTGAAAAGTTCTGTCGTGTGGGATATAATGCTGCATAGCCTGGAAAGTGAATATTAAGCTCTTTTATAACAAAGTAACCAGGTTACATGCATATTTAATATGGTGAACTCTCCACTTAAAGTTTTCTTGTGGAGCAGTGAATTTGAGCAGTAAACAAGGAAATGTTTTAAACAGAGGGAATATAACACTGAGATTATTAGCTTGAGATCACTGAAATTGAATTTAAAATGAGGAAAAACCTTAAATTGAGAAAGAATAATGGGAGTTCCATGCTGTTGTTATTCTAAAGGAATTTACAGGTCCAAAAAGCTCAGTAGATCTTCATTCGAAAACATTAAAAATGAGGTTTCTTACAAATTACTGAGTTAGTAAATAGACTCATTGGATATTAAGTAATTGGCCTATGCTGATCAGTTTCCTCGAGTTTATATGTACTTCAGATCAGTAGTGCTCATAGAAAAACAGCATTGAATCAGTATTTTCTTTCAGATACCCAAACATAGACCAAAAATTTTGTGTTTAATGCTGATGATTGATTATTTTATTTATTCGCGCAGAATAACAGCTGTGTACACTGGGCAGTGTTAACCCTAAACTGAAGGAAGGAAAATAATGAAAATATAAAAGTGTTTAAAATAATATTATATGTGAATCTGCTAATTAAATTCTAATCCCTGCTCTGACAGTGTTTGTACTTGAAATTTGAAATACTTCATTGCACAGAAAATAGGCATTTTATTTAAGGTACAATTATCATGTTAAGAGGCCACATGAAAGTCAAACACAGGCCATGTCAGTAGGGCCGCTTTAAATTGTGTTGAAACAAAGAACGCAGATAGTTTGCAGCACGTTTAGCAAGATGTAGAATTTGCCTCTTGTCTTTCAAATACTGAAATTTCTTTTATCCACAAAAGAACATTGTGATTTTGAAACTGAGTTGTATTAAGTAACAAACAACTGAATCAGTATGCAAGATATAAAAATGGAGACATTACAAGAAAAGTTAATGAGAACAATTATACAGTGAAATGGACAAATCTTATATGTAGTTGATGAAAGGACTTGTTTGAAAGCTTCAGATAAATGATAATTGAGGTGATGAAAGACGGACTGTTAGAGGCCAAGTGGTGGAAGATATACAAAAGAGAGCAAGAGAACGGTGGACAGATATTAAGCGATGGGGATATCAGTGAGTGAAGCCAGATAATATGCTATGACCTCAGTTTTGGAGGTAGAAATGGCTGCTTCATAAGCTTTTGTAATAAACTGTTACTACTTACTTTCTCATGTTCAAATTATGTCTCAAGGCTCTGTATTTTTTTTTCTCTCTGAATTTCAGATTAGGATTGTGGCTGTGCATGTACGCCCAGACCCCAAGCTGACTGTTCAAGAGTGCTGTCTCAAAGTAACATTACTTCCTCTGAGACTTAACATAGATCAAGATTCTCTTCTGTTTTTGTTCAATTTCTTCTCTGACATATCCGGACTAAACAAAAGTAAAGGTCCGTATTATGATGAAAAGTGAACTTAAATTTATGTTGAATATTATTACATCTTACAAGAACTTCAGGTATTACTCCAACAGTTTTGTGTTATCTGATGTAGATAGAATGTAGACTACTCTTGTACAGAAGCCTCCATTCTTTGTTTGTTTCTCAGGGAAGCTCTAGTTTTTATTACCTGACGTACAGTACACATCTAGTAGAATAAATATGGTGAGATGTAGCCTTGATGTACATACCTTTGAGCTATCCCCTACCCCTCCAGTGTACAGAAAGGGGTTTTGTCTATAAAAACGCAAGCTGTAGGTGATCAGAGACTTCGATAAATGTCAGTCACTGAAATAGCCATCATTGGATGCAATGTATGGAAGAATTTTGCAGAATAAAACATAAACTGCTATTTGGGAAACAAAAACTTTTAGTACTTCATAGTGTCTGGAGTGGATGCGCTGTAAACAGAGATAAGGCATGAGGTGTGGAAAGCTTAGTTAACAGTGAACCAACATTTGTAACGGAATGTTTGCTAAATTGTTAACAGTGCTGTTGTAATGACACTATAACACTTTTAATTGCTGATTTTTGTTTGTTCTACCATAAAAACAGATATTGCATGAACCACATTTAAATAACTTGGCCATCTACTAGCCAATAGGAGAAGCATTTTACCACTGCTATTTGTGTTCACTGAGGGCACACTATAGCGTAGTTGGTTGGGGCACTACGCTACAAGCCAGAAGGTTGCAGGTTCGATTCCCGATTTCACTGGATATTCAGTTGACCTAATCCTTCCAGCCACATTGTGGCCCTGGGGTCAACTCAGCCTCTAACAGAAATGAGTACCAGAAATTTTCCTGGGGGTAAAGGGCAGCTGGCACATAAGGCTGACAACTTTACTGCCATCTGTGAGCTGTTTGCCTAGAAAATGTGGGAGCCTTGACCTCTCACAACCTTATGGTCCTCCACGGCCTGCTACTGGGATAGCGTTACCTTTATTTATGTTCACTCCATTCACTCATGAATGGAGTGTAGAAAACTCTTAACATGAGGTACTGGAGTGAAAGATTTGCGCCATCTCACCATGTCAGAATGTCATCAGCAGGCAAATGATAAAGCACTCACATTGTAAGTAATCATAGAGTAATGGGTAAAAGACAAAGACAGAGTTCTCCCTGAGCTTAAGCCCAAGTCCATCACCATGAATATTTATGGCTCCATGTATGGTTAATCTCATCACTAGAAGGACGTACAAGTAAGCGGCCTGCTTCATGCTTCAGCTGCTTTACCCTCAGGGTTGGTTGGATAGCAGAAAGGGTGTGCCAGAGAGGTAGTCAGGGTGCAACAGCAAAGAGAATAATCTCAGCCCCTATCAGGAACCAAATCCCACTCGTCAAGCCCATAACCAATAAGATACACTGCAGACATGGTTTATATACAATGAAATACATTTCCAAAATTCACCCACTAAAATGTGTTGAATAGTGAGGTTTTTGTATTAGTGTAGAGGAAATTTAAGTTTGCTTACAGTTGTGGTTTGTTCAGAGCTGCAAAGCCACAGGAAGCATAATTCAATGAAAATTTCCCTTGTGTTGCAAACAGAAGATGGTACTCTTCAGTGTAACACTCCTCGTCACAACACACCAACACACCAGGCACCTGTGATGACAGTGAATGTTGATGGAGGCTGTAGGACTCCTTCTCCTGAACCTCAGACTCTTCTGATTCTGTTAGAAGAAGAGACCAGCAAACAGGTTTCAGGTCATGTGGCTACCCTGCCAGAAACCCAAAAGCTGAGTGACAAACCTCCAACACCACCAATATTCTTCAGGCATGTAACTGTGACTATGCAATTCATAATGGCCTATCGCCATGGCCGCAGGGGTTGGAAGATCCACTTTTAACATGAGATTCAGTTCCTTCTGGATAGCTTATTGTGAATAAAGATGGTGGTTAGGAGATGGCACTTCAAGAAATCAACTCCTTACTTAGCTAGACTCATTGTTTTTTTATTGCTAGTGGGGTGGGACTATGTCCCTTGTACTGGGATTTGTCGTGGACAAAATGGTGCTGGGGAGGGTTTTCTCCTAGTACTTCGGTTTCCCCTGCCAATCTTCATTCCACCAGTTGCTCCAAAATCACCCTCACCTATCATCTGGGGCTGGTACAATAGGCCAGAAGTGGCCGCAGTACAAGGGACTTAGTCTCACCCCACTAGCAATAAAAAAAAATAATATAGTCAGACTGAAGTACTGATAATAGATTACAGTAATATGAAAGATTATCTCATCATTGCCATTTTTGTTATTTTTCTTAATTTCCTTGTTGTGGGTAATACGAAATGGACTCCATTGATCCTAAAGTTCTTACTTATGTCTTCTTCCTCTAGAGTGATATTTTAAAGTTATTTTCAGGAATATGTCAGCTCTTATTATGATTCATTCATTTTCTTCTTTAGTGTTGTATAAAATCTGAAGGAAGAGGTTATGTATACAGTAGACACAGTTATTTGTGTGCTCCTTAACTTCAGTAATATTAAAGAAAGTAGTATGTATTAACCATCTTCTCTATAGAGAATATACCAGACATGTTACCTTGCTTCATTCCTTCAGAACATGAAATCTAGTTGAAAAGAGACTGTAAGTAAGGGAAGCGGCCTCCATAGTCTAGGGGTAACGTTCCCACCTCATGACTCAAGGTACGCGGGTTCAAACCCGGCGGAGGTCGTGGAATTTTTAAGGGCAGAAAAATTCTGGGAACAAGTCCTCCGGGAGGGACTTTAAGCCATGGGTCCCATGTCGTAGCTTTATGGCACGTAAAAGAACCTCATGTCTCAAGCGGACCTCTGAGCCAAATTTGTAAGGACATTTCCCGCCCAACAATAGTCTCTAACGCCTCTGGTAGATGGGGGAAGCATCTAGATACCACTGAGCCAGTAGAGGCTGAACTCGCTGGCTGAGTCGGAACTGATGGCACGCACCAGTACCAGTAGGGTATAGAGACTGGTAGAATATCACAGGGGGACATACAATAGATCAAACTGGTCGCAGTGCATGGGGAAACCCACCTCCTCCAATAATAATAATAATAATAATAATAAGGGATACTGCACGTGTCAAGGGGAATGATGGATGAGTATGAAACAGTAATACAAGTAGAATGATGGTTAGCAGAGGGAAACCAGAAAAACATGCTCCAACACCACTTTGTCCATCGCAAAGTCACACAGGATTGAACCTGAAACACCACAGTAAGAACCCAATAGTGCCTAACCACCTGAGCTGTGACGTCACGAATTCGAGAAAACATGGCATGAAATCTACTTTGAATGTCACAATCTTCCTATTGTGTTTAAAGAACAATACATACTGGGCAAACAAGTTACTTATACATCCTAAAAAGGGCCTTTTTTTCATATATAAAAAAGAAACCCAGAAGCTATAAAATGAGTGTCCCACACGAGTTTCTCTAACAGAGTTTATCATAAAAGAAAAGGGAGTGAAATAGCCTTTGTTTTATGCTGTATAGAAGTATTTATGAAGGCAAATAATTCTAAGATTAATTATGGTGCTTTCAGGAGTTTTCTTTTCTCTCGAGAAGTTCCCATTCGACTAGACTATGAAGGCAAACGAGTGGATATGACTCATGGTCCATTGGCTGGTCTGCTAATGGGACTAGGACAGCTCAACTGTTCTGAACTAAGATTGAAACGTATTAGTTACAGACATGGGTAAGTTGCTGAATGAATATCCATTACAGTCACAGATAATAGTAGAAAGTTAAAAAATTAGCAGAACGTAATGTAAGGGTCATCACATGCTAAACGTAACGGTATAATTATTCACATGCATTTTTCTTATTTGAGAGATTCCAGCTCCAACAGAGGTGTGTTCAGTTTATATATTGGTATATAGTTCATACGTTTGAATATCTGTCATTTAAATTTCAGTTAATACATTGTAGGTTACCTTTAAACCATCAGTATTTGCCTCTATGCCGACTTAGTACATAGGCTGTCTTTCACATTTGTCCTGTTTTTGTGATTATAAACGTAATTATTTGTGTGTTGGTGTCATTAAACCTCCACTGAGCCGGTCACAATAGCCGCGCAGTCTAAGGCATGAACTGTGTTCACTCACTCGGACACTGGGATCTTGGGTTCAAATCCCACTTAAGGCATGGATGTTTGGTGTGTGTATGCATTTATTCTGTGTCTTTGTTGTCCTGTGTTTATGTAGAGGCCTTGCGACGAGCTGATCACTTGTCCAAGGAGTCCTTCCATCTGAAAAATGATTACGGACCTGAATTATAGGCCAGGGTCCTAAATTGGCTGGAAGAGCAATTGAAAAAAAACTCCACTACTCCACTGATGGGATAAGGTTATCTTAAAGTATGCATTACTACTGAGTTGTGATAATTAAGTTCAGAACTTACTGTTTTTGTAATAGAATTTTCATCCACTTCATCAATTAAATGGTAACACGGTTTGAAGATTACTTTTTTCTGGAATGTGACACTGTATAGACATATATCAATGTTTGGGAGGAACCTACTGTCTACATCTTCATGGTGGAAGGCATGACATCCAAAAAACACTAATCTTTATGGTCACCACAGTAAGAATCTCAGATGTTGTGCATAACATGGTTTGTTTGTAGGTTGCTTGGTTTTGACAAGTTGGTAACCTTCATCTTAAATGAGTGGCTGCAAGACATCAAGAGGAATCAGTTACAAGGCTTGCTGGGTGGAGTTGGACCAATGCATGCACTTGTGCAGCTATGTAAGTCATTTGTGTTTAGTGATTCCGTAGCTAATAAATTGTTACAAAGAGCAAGACATGCAATGGACACTATTATTTGCTGTTAAAATTAAATGTTTGTACCTCTTCTTATACATGAAATTACAGCTGTAATATTGGTTCTCTAAGGGTTTGTGACGAATACTGATTCAGAGTGTGGATAATATGTCAGACATTGTTCGTTATCTCAAGTATATTTGGAAAGATCTGTTTCCATCAAAAGGACAAGGGATCCTTCTTGTTGGGGCTCACTACAAAGAATGAATTTCTATCAGAACTGGACAAAGGTCTACTGAGAAGATTCCTGTCTCGCATCAGACCTGATGGAAACCAATCCAGTTTCTAAAACATGATGTATTTCAAATATATGATTTCCACCATTTTTCTCATATTTATGTAATTTGTAATGCTATTGTGTTATGCTGCATTACGTTCCATATCCAGGAAATAATAATGCGCTTTATTTAGAATATATATTTCATAACCGTATTAACTCAAATGGGATAGCAACCAGGCTACGGGCTGGACAACCAAGGTTTGATTCCTGGCAGGAACAAAAGAGCTTTCTCTTCACCATAGAGTCCAGACTGGCTCTGGGGCCCACCCAGCCTCCTGCCCCGTGGGTACTGGGAGCTCTGTTCCAGGAGTAAAGCAGCAGGAACATGAAGCTGACCACTTGCCTCCATCTAGTGCCGATGTTTTAAGAATGGTGGAACTATACCTCCACTTCCCCATGTGCCTTCACAGCATAGTGATTAATTATATAATTTAGTGCAGAGATAACTTTATTTTTAACTGTATGAGCAGATTTAACGGGGAATAGCTTCACGATTCTAAAATTTCTCTGTTTGACGCATTTCCTAGTCCAGGGGATCAGAGACTTGTTCTGGCTTCCCATTGAACAGTACCAGAAGGATGGACGCATTGTACGGGGTTTGCAGCGGGGCGCCAACTCGTTCACTACCTCCACAGCCATGGCAGCACTGGAACTAACCAACAGGCTAGTCCAGGCCATACAGGTAAATAGTAACTGTCCCGATTGTGACTACAATTCATGTACCCAAAAAACACACATTTAGAGTAAACATATTTTCAAAGTACATTCTCTGTTCTTTTGCATGTTTTGATCATGATGTTTTACTATTGCATGTTCAGATCTGCCATTGCAAAGCTAAACCTGCTTGTGTGAAGGGGAGGGGGGAGCAGGCTGAGTAGAATTTGGAATTACACTCTGAATAAGAATGGGAAAGGTTTAACATATATGTTTTTATATTTATTCATGTAATTGGTTCCTGGAACTTTATAAAATTTTGTAATAATGTTACTTTAGAGGATGGCGTTTTAGGTAAAGACAGGACATTATACAAGGTCCAGAAACATNCTCTGTTCTTTTGCATGTTTTGATCATGATGTTTTACTATTGCATGCTCAGATCTGCCATTGCAAAGCTAAACCTGAGATTCAGACTGCAATTGTGGTATTTCTAACATTATTTTTGCCATTGTAGAGTACAGCAGAAATGGCGTATGATATGGTATCGCCTGGCCCAAGTGTCCGGCGGAGGACACCTGGTCTAAAAGGTAGACGACGACGTTACAACCAGCCTGCAGATATCAGGGAAGGCATGGCAAATGCCTACATGCTAGTCAAGGAGGTAAGTAAATTTCGTTAATTTCGGTTTTCTAGACCGGAGCTGCTATTTCCTTGAAATAGCTCCTCAGTTATCCTCATGAGGCTGAGTGGACCCTGTTCCATATCCACTACTTCTAAGAAAATCTGGTAGCGAACCCGGACCTCTGGATCTGTAGCCAAGAACTCTGACCACTAGGCGACAGAGGTGGTCAGATGACTAAGGAATGTAATGATTAGTTATAATTTTCTCTAGACTAACCATATGGATTGAAGAACTTGAAGGGAAGTATGTAAGCTTGTTTCCAGAACTTCATATGTTAGTATGTCTTCTAGCATCATTTCTACATCATACAGGTCGATAAATGAAATGCCTGGCCTCTATTGTATTACAATGGAACTGTATGTTGCAGGGAATTGGTGAAACAGCTCAGACCATAGTGCGTGTGGCAAGTGAAGAGCATGAGCAGAAAGGGGTGTCTGGAGCTGTAGGGGGCGTGTTACGTCAGATTCCGCCAACGGTGGTAAAACCCATTATCCTAGCAACAGAAGCAACGTCCAATGTGCTGGGTGGAATGAAAAGTCAATTAGTACCTGATGCAAGACGAGAAGCCGTCGAGAAATGGAGGCATGAAGATTAGGAGATCAGGGGATGTATAAGACAGATTTTTTTGCTTGTATGTTCCTATGAACGTAATAGCAGGAGTATATGAGCTTTTAAATTAATTTCTTATTCTTAGCTCATTCCTTATTATTTACATTGTTCACTCAATTTTTATCTGATGTGTTGGTAGGTGAATTATGTTAATTGTATGTTACAGAACATTTATTCTTTGTTATTAATCGAACAAAGAATCCAGACTGGTTTATGAACATTTTCATATCTTTATACCTTCTGGAAATTTGCAATTTGCTACAAGATTGCACAGCTGAATAGTTTTATTTTCTGTATCTTAACATTTATATACACAAAAGCATTTGAGATATTTTTAAATCTGAAACAGCCGAAGAAATTATGAGACCTGCAGATTCCACAAGAACAAGAACAAAACAAGGCAGACCATAGCTATTCCTTTGTTCTGGTTTAACTTATCCCAATCTTTTTATTTCCAGTCCCACTGTTAGCAGCTAGAAATCTATTTGAGTGGAAACTTAAAAGACTCTTTGATATGGTAAAATATAAACTTCTGCCATATGTTGTTCCTTTACGTCAGATACGAGTACTAGCAGAGATATTGTGAAGGGTAAAGTTATAATATTCAGCATGTAATAATGACACGGACAAACCATGCGCCTGCTTAGTATCCAGAATGCCTCTAGGTCAAATCTTGGCCAGGAGACTGCCTCCCCTGACAGAGGTTTCTCATGATTTTCCTCGGCCCTTCCAGTCAAACACCAGGATACTACCTCAAATTAGGCTACAGTCCCTTCCTAATCCATTACTCATTCCTATAATTCAGCATTGTAGACTCTGAGCTACTGACAACATAGTTAAATGAACCATAATTAAACAAAACATACCATATGCATAAATTTAACAGAAGAATTTCAAATTTATGTTTAGGAGGGCCTCAGTTTGGGTCTTGACCAGTTTTTCATTATTTGCATCAGTCTTCATCCATCCCAGTTTATGCTCCTGAATCACTGTACCATTTCTCAGTCAGCACAACATATAACCTCTGCACTTGATAATATTTAAAGTGATGTGAGAAATTTACCTTGAGTCTGTGTAATGTTTATCATTGGCCAAGGCTTCGGTAGAAGCAACCAGACTTTAGAACCCCTCTGTTTTATTACATACATGTATATGTTATGTTGTACGTGAACTGTGCAGTTTACTGCATCAAACTCTGAAATTTTTCTATACTGATAGGAACAAGAGTGAAAAGATGTACTACAGTGGAATCCATTTATTTTCCAGATGCATTTTTTCTGTCCTTCATGCTTCATAGATATTGACATTTATTGCAGAGGCGATATTTTAATGTTATGAACCTAATTTCTCTCTAGATGTAGTGCACAGTCTGGTTTCTCTTTCCTCATTAAATATTCATCGCATTAAAAAATATTTCACATAACGGTTTTAGATCTTATTGAGTTCTTTGCTTTATGTCCTTTTTTTATACAGTGAACTACTTCTGTAAAATTTGATAAGTTACAGATATACGACATTTAATGTAATGTTATAATGTATTAGTAGACACCAAAATAAAATTTAGCTGACATACCAAGTTTTAGCTTTTAACATGAAATGTGTGGATAGAAAAAGCATGACCTCATTGCATTTCATGCTGTTCAAAGAATGCATAACAGTTTCATAAATTTGGATGCTTGTTGTATGAGTTCTGAGACAGTGAGGACATTTCTGTAAACATTACTATAGACTTGGCTTGTGTTCTTGTCAGCTGTGAAACTTGCCAGCATAAAATAATGAAAATTATGAAAATAATTTTTATGTCATTAGTACAGAGAGAGATTGAAACTCCCATTGAATAGGAGGAGGGTGGACCCCAGAGATGATATTGTCACATGTTGGGTAGGTCATGCGACAAATAACTTCACACCATTCTGGATCTAGCGAATTTATTCCACTCGCTCTTACATTTGCACAATTTACAGTTTCACAACTACTGCCATCTGCAGTGTCACAGTTACTTCTCCTGCCGGAGTCACTGCCATTCACTTGATACAACTGAATAACAATGGACTTCCATTCACTCCGGCGAATGCTAGACTGCAACTGACTGGTTACTCTCTCTCACTGACGAATACTCCTGTTATGTAACTTCCGCACTAAAAACAGAAAATAGTTATGTGATGGCTTTCACAGTTGTGTGATGTTGTGTTTACCCATTGCCTAGCAACAGTTGGTGCACGGGCTCCCCTGTTGCATGACGCCATGTTTACAAAAGCATTGCTGGGCAACGCTGTGTAGCAACCAGCGCACTTCGGCTCAGCACAGACAAACACCGCTTTCCTTACTGTTGTGTATACTCATTTCCACTGTTGCGTAACTTGGCAACCGACCATTTATCAAGGGTCTGTCTTTGTGGTAATTCGTTCCACCACCCGTTGCCCAGCAACGGTTAGACATGAACACTGCTCCCTTCTTAAGCCTGTTTGTCCCGAATAGCCTAACAGTGCATCACCGGTTCTTCTCTTCTGAAGCTTTGCTTGCAACTTTTTTTTTCTGGCTTGGTGTTTCCTTTCTTCCCATTGTCCGTTCCTCAGTCGTTACATCCGCTATGTATGGAGCTATTCCAGAATTCCATTATCTGCTAGTAAAACTACTCAGATCCTTCTACTGAGGCACAGTTGTAAGTTCTGGACTTTATGGAAAATATTGTGGGACCCCCAGACCTTCATATCCCATCCTATGGCAAGTTTATACATTCATGTATGTCCAGAAGTGTCTGATTTCCAAGAATTGGTAGAGAATTCCTTATTGATGCTTTTATCAAAATAAATCCTGGCAGGTTTGTTCCTGCTGTTTCTATATGAAAGAAGTAGTGGAAAGCTGAGCTGGATTAATTTATAATTATGGCCTTATAATTCTCATCCCCATCCACACCAAAAAAAAGTTTGTGATAAGATGTATTAATTATGCTGTTAAATGCGACATTTTTAGTGGCATGCAAGGCTGGCAGCCCAAAAAGATGCAAGAGCATGTGCACCACTAACATAATTCATTTTCTCGTTTTAATACATCAATCAACTGTATAGGGCAGAAGAAGGTGTAAAGATTTGTTTAAAAAGTCAGCCATAGTATGCAAATTATTCAGTTTTGAAAATATTGCTTTTTATGTTGTAAGAAAATGTAAAGCTGGGCTTTAATGTTTTGTAACTTTCCCAATTGTGGTGTATTTGGAATCCTGCAACATACATTTTAGAATCTAGCATCATCCTGAACATGTTACTCATGGATGAAGGAGGACACTTTCATTAAATCATTTAAGAGGATGAGAAAAAACAAAAATTATTCTGTAGTATGTTAAAAGTTTAAATTCCGATAAAAATGTGAATTTTATTTTTTCCTTGTGCATATCTTTTTGTGCTGGGCTTGTACAGTGGAAGCAAACTTAGGATTTAAAATTGACTACTTGCATAAATTCATTTTCACTATATCTACCAGTTCTATACATCACTTCCAAACATGTCAAAATAAAATAATGACTTTGTAGATCTTTTGCAGTGGTAATATGATGCAGTGTATTTCATATGTGAATGTTTTTCTTTGTTTTTAAAAATATATATTTACATTTCGTTGCTTCACTGCATACCTTAATGCAATGCAAATGAAAAATTTTTAAATTAAGTGACAAATTACCAAATGCAGGTTGTTCCTGCACTTTCATATCCATTTCCTCTGTAGCCTGTGATTGTTGTGGTTCTGAATTTTGTAGCTGGAATTTGTTGCAAGTATGTCTCTGGGTTTGCAAAGACAGCCATACTTCGGTGTTTCTGTCTTATCCATTCTTATTTTCCTCCTCCTCGCAACTGGATGTATGACCTTATTTAGTCATACACGTATATGACTTTCATGTGTCATTTTCATAAAACAATGTTAAAACTATATTGAAATAGGCTGTTTTTATTTACTTAATGAAAGTTGCTGTAGCTGTAGTTGTATGCATAATTTTTATAGTATCATTCTAACACAATTTTATTTGGTATATGATAAACTGAGGCCAGTGGTTTGAAAATTGTGGGGAGAAAATTAAAGAATAAAATTTTTATTTTTAAGGTCACAAAACTTAAATCAGTGAGTAACATAACATTTCCGTATTGATACTAGTGTGTAATTTACATTTTCTGAACGTTTTCATTTTATGATATTTTACTTATACATTGCTTCTTGAAAATAGGTATCATTCATGTCTTAAGCTATAAAATTAAGTAAAGCATTAAAATGAGCTTATGACATTTATCACCTCTGTGCCATATCATATCATATTTTCTTGACTGTCTATGTTCTTCTTTAGTTCTTTATCCAAAGATATAAGCTAACCTGTGAAATATATTCATAAGTAAAACATTATAATTGAAACTGAGTGAAATAATATTCTAGCATCTATCTCAGAATTCTTTCCGCACTGACATAAATGGTTAACTTTCAGAATTAGTTCTACAATTATTGCCTACTAATTAGAATTACTGAATTGTTCTGGCATAATGGTTGCAGGTGCAGGTAATTTGCAACAAGATCTAATTTTTGTCACCTTTCTTTCTTCTTAAAAGAATGAATTTATTATACAGTCATTTTATCTTGATTCTAGGAAACCAGACTTCCTGTACTGTTTCTCTGAATGAAAAATGACCAGCATAGATATATAAAAAAGAAGTTTCATTTATTCATAATAGAATAATTAAAATAAAATATTGTATGATGTGTTTTCTTACCTATCATTCCTTATTCAATACTGAACTTCAGTTCACTTCTATATTTGGTATATTTTATCATTGTCCAGCACCATGAGTAATTCTGATATATTTGAAATGCACTATTAATTTACAGTGTTTTCAGTACCCTGAGACTGCTGAAGTACTTGATGAAATGTGCATGACAGTTAAATTATTGTTCAACAATTAAATTTAATATCTGTATTCATGAGTATGGCAGAAGCAGCCAATCAATTTTTCTAACTCTGAGACTCAAACAAAAACTGCAGCAGTCATATATAAGTTCAAATTAAACCATGTTAATATCTTAACATCAGAAATGTTATGGCATGTTTTAATTCTTGTGAAATGAACAATAACCATATAATGATATGGCATGTATACAGTAACGTAACAAAAATTTTCCTTGCTCTAATTTTGTTTCTTTTGTTTCAGTGTCATATATAGAAGTTATAGAGTCTGACTCACCATGTTTGACCAACTATTTCAGCTCTGAAAACACCTACTGTATTTGTAAATCCAGAAGTCAGCTTAATTATAAAAGTAATATTTTATAGGTGTAAATCTGTTCGGTTACTGTAAGAAGCTATCATGTCAGTCCTGTTTTGGAGAATAGGCCTAGCCTATTTGTCTGTTAAAGAGTGGATATGTCTGCTTTCAAAAGATACTTTTACCATATGTTCTTGTGCCATGGTAATATTTCTAAACATTGTTTGTAGGGGATATTTTATTCCTTTCATGAAATCCCTGGATTTAATGTTAGGCCCTTATCCAAAACAGATTTGATATTAGTATGTGGCATGTTTTTATTTTTATACTAAATGAGATTTTGTCTCTTAGGGTGATATGTGATAGAGTACTGTTGTGTGTTGAAGTGTAAGAAATAATTAAAATATATTATTGATTAAATATATTGTATGTATGCAGTACTGTTTCAAGTGGTTCATTTGAAATTATTTGTACTCTTTCTTTCTTTCACACACAAGTCCTATAGGCAGTGTTTCTGATTGATTTCCTGTCCATAATGGTCTTGTGGGATCTAATATGACTTTCAGTCTTCCGCACCAAATTCTGATTCCTACTTTCCCACAGTGCATTCCATGTTCACTAAGAAGGCTCTGACAAGTGAGTCATGGGAGCATAGTTATTTCAAATTATGTTGAAATGTTACTACAAAAATAGAGGTCAGTATACTTTGAAGTTCAGCTGATTTATTTATTCTTCAATAGGTAGACAGTTTATAACCTGAATTTATGATGAAACCAAACCTTATTAATTAGTATTAATGAAGGGTAATCCCCAGGATAAGCAATGGGCAAAACCTTTGTTCAAGGACAACTACTAGTTCACAGTATTGATAATTAAGGGCAGCAAGTTTATCTGTGTGTTCGTCTGCAAAAATATACGTTACCTGTGGACCTAACTCAATCTTCCCTTTCATAGTATCATTTCTGAACTTCCTTCTGACTCCAGATTTTTTAGTTATATATTAAAAATTAAGCTTCAAACATAACTAATGTAACGCTAGTTCGAAATGCCATACTGTCTCAATTTGCAAGACTTGCAAATAAAATGAATAACTACACATTTGAGGCCTGATTAGTGGAAGGAGGCTATTATTGTACAAATAACACGTGCGATGAAAGTGACTAGTAAATTATCATGAGACATCACTGCTATCAACTTCATACAAACTTTTATCCAATTCTCAAGGTTAAGTACATATATAGATGAAATTATTGGTGATCATCGCTGTGAGTTTTTTCATAACAGTTCGACTACAGGTCAGATTTTTTTGCATTCGTCAAATATTGGAGAAAAAATGGGAATACAATTGACAGTACATCAGCTATTTAAGAAAGCCTATGATTCAGTTAGAAATTAAATATTGTATAATATTTTCATAGAGTTTAGGGTACTCTTGAAACTATAGTTTGGCTGATTAAAATGTGTTTAAACAAAACATACAGTAAGATCCTTGCTGCTGTATCATTACCAAAATGCAGGGCGAAATCATGACTTAAAGACAGCTAACAGATCCTTTAAAAATGTGGCACACTTCAAATATTTGGGAATAACTCAAAATTTGATTCAGGAAGAAATTAAGAGTTTGGATTCAGGTAATGCTTGCTACCTACCATTCAGTCCAGAATCTTTTGTCTTCTCGTCTACTGTCTAAGAACAAACATTAGAAAATACAAATTATAATTTTGCCTTTGGTTCTGTATGGGTGTAAAAGTTGGTCTCTGACATTGATGGAGGAACATAGAGTGAGGGTGTTCGAGAACAGGGTGCTGAGGAGAATATTTGGACCAGAGAGAGATTAAGTGAAGGGAGGTTGGAGAAAGCTACATAATTAGGAGCTTCATAACATGTACTCTTCGTCGAGTATAATTGGAATCGTCAAAGATGATGGGATTGGCAAGGCATGTAACATGGATGGGAAGAAGAAGAAGAGGAATGAGTAGGGAACTTTGGTGGGAAAGCAAAAAGGAAAGAGACCACTAGGAAGACCAAGATGTAGGTGGGTGGATATTATTAAACAGGATCTTAGAGAGACAGAATGGGATGGATTGGATTAATCTGGCTCAGAATAGGGACCAGTGGAGTGCTCTTGTGAACACGGTAATGAACTTTCTGGTTCCATAAAATGCTGGTAAGTTCTTGAATAGCCGCAAAACTGGCGACTTCTCAAGAAGGGCTCATCTCCATGAACTTATTTAGTTGGTCTACGGATTTGAGGCATGTTAAGGCGGTCCACCATTGGTATTTAGCAGGCGAATTAAAAAAAAAATGAATACCCATCGTCCACATTCAGCAGTGCAATGAACGTTTTACATTCGAAAGTAACCTCTACATTCAGAAATCGCATTAGAGCAGTAGAGTATGTTGTTAATCCGTGGTGCAGAACATGTCATTGTGATCGTTACAGCTTTGTGGCAGACTGCGTTTCTTCCCAGAGTTGCCATTCTAGGATCAAAGGAATGCTTCCAACCGCCATTTATAGCGTATGTACTTGTTAGGAGGGGAAATATATTCTTTCTGGGAATTACGAATTGTAAAGTGTCTTGGTCTTGCAGTAAAAAAATTCTTTGCACCTGATTTATTTATGGAACTTAATATGTAAACTTTATAGAATGATTCTTTCTGTACTTTACAGTTCCACGACAATGATTTGATTCTGTGGCTAATTAATAGGTGAAAAACATGGTCGACAAATACGGCGATAATTAGTAATGAGTTGTGGGAAAATTTGTCCCCTCATTACTCTTCGAAGTTGTAAGTGTGGCATGTCAAATGAGATTATCAGACTATTAATACAAAGGCACGTGTAAAAGCGCTGGAAAAAGAAGTACCAGTCACAAAAACATTGATCAATAGCCGACAGTCGATCAGGCTCCATGAAATCTGCAGAAATTGAGGTGGCATTGAAAGAAGCAGTGAGACCGTCATTAAAAACAAATTTAAGCGAACCGTTGGATTAAAAAAAACATATGCTACAGTTCAGTCACCTTAAAAATGCACGGCTCCAAGCGGTCTGTGCCATCGAAGTCAGACATTCAGGAGTTGCATGCTGATGTTTCCTTTCCTCATTCAGGAGCAGGAGTTTCGTTGCCTAATTCCGGGAGTAAAGACATTCAGGAGGAAAAAACTGAGAGTGAATACGGATCGTATGGCAATCATTATGAAGAAATAACTGAAGAACACTTGAAGCAAATAGCATTGGAACTTGGCCTTATTAAATTGTACTGGCCACAAGAGCTAATTCCAGATGTAGACCAGTATGTTTGTAATTATATTTCATGATCGTATTTTTTTTTTTTTGCAAGGTCGAATTTGTACCCTTTCCAGAGGTAGATAAGTCCTAGAAGTAGTTCTTTTGTTATATGATGCGTGAAGTGTAAAATGCCAATAAAAATGACAACCCAAATCCTGTTATGATTACAAAATTTAGAGATGGAAAGGATATGAATTACAGAAACCTTCATCAGTTCCCCTTTATCTCCAAGAAAGCATGCCCAAAGTCTTTCTTGAATATTTGGGCATGTCATAGTTCTACCAGCATGTGCCTCTCAAAATTAAAAATTGTATAAGTAGCATTTTGTTCAGGCTTGAAGTAATTGAAAAGGCTAAATATATGTAGTCCACTGACTAGGATCATGTATTGTTGTCTAAGGTTTGCCAGAGATATGATGCCAAATGACTGATCTGAAGTTTACCTCTGGAAATGTTTAGGTAGTGTCTGGTAGATATTAACCACTTGAAGGATCTACTGCTTCTGTCATCAGAGTATCCTGAACATTGGTAAATATCTACCAGACTACACAGTATCACATCCCAGGAGATAGTAACCTTCAGTCTTTTTGTATATTTGAATTAATTCTAATTAAATATTGTAATAGATGGAAGTAACTATATCCAAATCACTAAAACATTGTATTCGTTTCCAGGCGAAAGCACTATCCACCCTCTTATACCCAGAACAGTAATAAGGAGAAGCTGTTGCTATGGTATAGTGAAAACTTCCGAAGACAGTATCATTTTGTATACAAAGCTCGGAAACCTCTCTTTCTGGCTGCCAAAAATGAATGTGGCCTCCAGGTAACAAATAATTGTACATGTTGCATAAGTAGAATCACCTAAATGTTGACTGCACTGAATTAATGGCTTGGTACAGTGTTATTTCTCGGCAGTTGGCATGTACTCATTTATCCAGTATCCGTTTAATACCAACATAACAAGATACAAAAATTACAGACTTAATAAGTTGTTCAGAATTCTCTGTTATAGCTCCAAAGCTTCTTAGATCAAGCTTCAGCTTGTTTCTGTTTAGTGCAAAATCCTGTTTGAGTCGAGAATTTTGTACCTGTAAGAATATAGACACTTTTATGGGAAAGAAGCAGTGTGCCTTAAAGCCACATGGGAAAGTAGATTCTGGTATATCCTGACAACTCTTGCATTGCTTTCCGTCCTTACATTGCACTTTTCTAAGCTTCACACAGTTCATAGCTTTTTTAATAGCATTTTATCAAACATCTTCTCCTAAGTACTTGTTGTGATAACATTAGATAGTCATTTGAAACACAGTGACAGCTGTATCGTGTACTTCCTCTTTCTGAAAAATGTGTTTAATTTACTAATTCCCTATTCTGATATGAACATTATGAAACTTTTAAATGTTTCATTTACTGAGAGGCACTTCAAGAAACATTTAAAAACAAAATGGCTAAAGTCATGCTCATTCAGGTTATTGTATCGTGAAGTCACACACAGACCAAAGAAAAATTTGTGAAGCTTTTTTTAAATTCAGTATCATCATAAACAATCACACCTTCCATTTATCAGTTTAAAGATGGTTATAGATGTTTCTGACAGCTGGTTTTTCTCAGACTTAGGAAGTGAAATATCTCAGAACATCTTTTGTAATAAAAAGATCACAAGGTACATGTTCTGTAAATTTACATCTGCTGTTCTTTCTGAAAAAATAGTCTTGCCACTTTATGAATAATTGGGATAATCAGGAATCACAATTCTGCAATCTTCAACATCACAATCTTTGTGCAAATACAGACCTACACAAATACAGAATTCAAACTTTTATTTTACAAAATAATAGAACTTGTGAACATGGCTTCATACATATTACAACTGATGTACACTTTACATGGCTTTATTACACATAAAATTACTAACATTTTACTAATGGGAACAGTGATATTTATTTGTACATGTGAGTAGAAAATATATATATATATATTTAAATCTCCATTTTTGGCAATATTAAATATTAACTATTTTGAAGTGTTGTAGAGGAATATAATTTTTCCTCCAGACTTGTTCCCAAATAAAAAAGATACAAAAGAGATATCTCTGGAATCGCGCACAAGTATTCCCAAGTAACTAAGAAGGGGAAAGTGATGGAAAAATCAGTAGAAGAAAAATAAGCCCATATAATTCTTAATATTATCACAATATAAGAGCAGTATTATGCAGCAGAGAACCCAAAACAGTGCCATCCATTACAAAATATATTTTAAGATGCTGTTAACACATGATGCTGAAATGTGGACCCTTATGAAGCTAAACAAAAGCCAAATCCAAGCAATGAATCCAATATTTTATATAAGTACAGAGGGGAAAACAAAAGAGGGGAACAGTTAGTACAAGAAATATTCAGAGATGAGATGGAACACAATTTGTTAATAGAGTTTGATGAGAAATGGTTGCATTGTTTGATCATGTAAAAAGAATGGAGACAACAAGGATATTGACAAAACTCATCAGAATTAAATATTAAAGGAAATGAATCCATGAGATGACCCAGAATATGATGGTTTATGCAGGTACTGGAACACATTATGAAGAGAAAAAGCTGGAAGAAAATCAGAAAGGAAAAACTGTGGGGGGAAAAATAGATTGCAGACATTTTGTGTATCAACCCATATAAAATGGAAAGAATGCTAAAAAGAAAATACACAACAAAATGAGATCTATATATACAGTAAAGTAAATGTGACTGGTTTTGTCTTATAGCCAGTGAAAGCCTGTAGTTCTCATCCTGTTATATCTGTTCCACACACTGCATTAATCTTCCTGTAATATGTTGGGTTTGAGGTTCTTACAGCAGTGACTGCAATAATCTTGAATTGTAAAGAATACACTCCATTACAACCCACATAATCATACTTCCCCCCCCCCCAGGATAGTTCATTAATGCTTGTATACTGAAATAATTTTATGATCTGAAAACCTCAAATCTTACAATGTTATGATCTAATCATGCAGACATTATTTTTATGACAAAGATATATATTATTGAGGGTGAAAATTTGTGTAGCAGCAGCATGACCCTCCCTGCCAGTCAATTAAATTGCTAGTATGTCACTACATAACCAAGATTAACCTGTCTGCATGCCAAAATTAAACCAGGGCAAGAGCTGAAAATAATTCCCTGCTCAGAAAGTGAATCCACACACCTATTTAACATATAACACAGATTAATAGTTCATCATTTCTGACATTAAAAGTTACTAAAGTAACTTTACTGATTTATTGAGACTTCAGCCTATTCTTTTTGTTGAAGCGCAAGCTAATTTAAGTTGTCTCACTTATGACACGAATCAGCATTTTGTAGTCGCCAACATTAAGCATGTGCTGATGTGAACTCACTTCCTCCATAAGTCGAATGGACACTTCTGAATGGTGTATATCTAGTCAGTACACAAAATGAGAAAAGTCCCTTTTCTGATAAAATGAATTACTTACTCCAAAGGGTAAATTTTGTTTAACATTCATGTGTATTATGTTGCATTCAGGATTCTACTATTGCATACAGAATTCACTGTGAGAACTTAAATGTTTAGATTAGTAAGCTTGTCCCTCACATAATGCATATTATAAAGAAATATTATACATTATTATGTCCAATGAAAGAAATATATTAAAATTGATTTTATCCAGTTCATCAAACCAAACAACACCACATCAAATCACAATACCTGTCACCCACATAGAAAATAACTGCTGTGTTCAAAGATTGGGAGTAATTCTCTCTCGCTGTGCTGACGTAGCTTCAGACATCTGTTGTCCAGTCATGCAGTTACTACAAAATAGTTCAGGCTTCCAGTCCTTTTCCCCACCCCTTGAGAAACTACATTCTTGGGCCCATCCATTTGTTTTATAAATTCTGAATATTTCTAGAACAGGATTCAAACACATTACAATCCAGCCTACCACAACAATGTCATCCCCAAAGAATGGACGCACAATAAGCTAAAAAGTGCCATGTACGCATGACTCCCATGCCATACACTCACATATGGAAAAAGTATGGAATACTCTAAATAGCATGGAGCATGACATATTAAAATGTCTTATACTGCATTTGTATTGTGTGTTTCAAGTAACATGAAAATTGGCACAGCAGTATAATTATTTGTTACTGCTATGAATATCTTCCACCTGAACACTATCATAAATTCTTGGAGTCCTTATTTATCCATTCTTCTCTCTTGTTTAATGTTGCTACAGGTGGCTAACTTTTCTTGTACTAAATTACATGGCATAACATCACAGATGACAGTACAAGTATTCTTCACAGTCACTGCCGTGAGACCCTCAGATCCAACATTAATTTAGTCTTTTAATTTTGCACTTGTCTTATCACATCCCACACTTGGAATTTTCAACTTTTAAGCTCTGCACAAAAGTCTACAATACTATACACATAAAAAACATATCCTGTTAGCTGCTGTATTTAAATGTATGTAGATAACCACATACACTGTTTTTCACTGTCTCTGAATTTTGACATTTGGGTATCAAAACTGGTTACACGAAACAAAGTCTTGATGCTGTCACTTCCCAGAACACTTCAGTCACCATTTATAGATCTCAGTTTTCTGATAATTCTAGTGTCAGAATGTATATGCGGTACCCCATGTAAAATAGTACAGGTATTCTGACACACAATCTTGTTTTGAAAAATCAATAATGAAATTGCATTCAGTACATAGTTTTGCATGTTAACATAATTTTTTGTGTAGATAAGATACAGCATACTACTTTGGGCAAAATAATTTTACATAGAAAAACCAGAAAAAATCACATCTTTAATTCGGTTTTAAATATTGACCATGTTAGAAAATGCACCCAGCTCTCATGCTTATTATAAGAAATTCCTTACGGTAAATCCAGGGTTGATATTTACATAACACAGTTTTGTATATCAAACATTTTTCCCAAACAGGAGCACCACCATTTAAAAAATGTTACTCCCCAGCATACAGTATATTCAGTAGTAGTTGTACATTAAAATATGATTAAGTCCACAAATATATGTAGACACTTTCTCAAAACTGCTGGATCTTTGTTCTCCATCCCTACTCAAGAAACTTAAAAAACAAATCATCACTGGCATTGAACAGTGATGGGTAAATTTTCTGGAGATCATAAAGATATTACATGAATATACCTAGATGGTCAAAGCTGACCCCAGAATTTGTATGAATATGTAAATTTACTCCCATTAAATGTTATCACGTTCTTTGTTACATCCAAATATGCAGTATTGTGGTACAGTCCTCTGGCAGATTCAAATGAGGCAGGAGCCAGTGCCAAGGTTAATTAACAGCAGGCTTTGTTTGGTCAGTGTTGTGGGCAGATAACAGTGACAGAGCTGTGGAAAGACGTTATCAGATTATAAAATTTGGTCGTTCATTATTGCGAAGTTTTAAATTATGGTTATCTAGGTTATGACACCGTATTGTCTGGTAGGTGGTTATCAGTGTTTGACAGGAATCTGGTGCTTCTATCATCAGGGTAGAAGTGAAAAAAAAAATACATTTCTGTACAGACTGGTTAAACACATCCCTGTTCATTTATTGATGCAAGTTAGATGCAGAAATTCAATGTGGACCTGAAATGACCAAGTTTATTCACTCTTGAGGCAAAACACATTGTAACATGACTGTTGTTTGTCGATAAACATTATTAAATTTTTTTGTTCATCTGACACATCTCATTTCATATCCTTTCTGCATGTTTCTGGAAGTTAATGCACTTAAGTGTAACAGCAAAGTCTACGGGAACTATGATTTTGATAGTGATAGTGCGTAGACCCTGGTCTGAATATTTTCCACTATCCCTCACTGATCACCATACTCTCCAACCAAACAGGCAGTATAATAAATACACCCAACACACACACGCAAAGCAAGAAACGAAGTCAGGTTTCTTAAAATCTAATCTACAAATGCATTTCTTTCCATAATCCTTTTATTTACACTGGGAACAAGCCTGTATAGTCACTTGAAAATGTTATAATCACATTTTGTCTGATGAAAACAAACGACTTCCAATCACCAGATTTCTGCTGATGAGAAGAAAAAATGGTATATCAACATTTAAGAATGTAATACACAAATCATGAAGTTATAACAAATAATGTCTTTTATATAGAAAATGGTATGCACCACAGTGCGTCCAACCACAATACGGCTTCCAGAGTTCAGAACATGGGAGGGCTGTGCCAATTTTGTAGCTGATCATCTCAATTATAAGCCACTTGAGAAACCTCAACTGCTGGTAAGTGATAATTTTTTTCACTTATAAAAAATAAATCATATCACCTCATTACTTGATCCAATGCACATTTCCTCTGCAATGTCTAATCACGATTCTGTTGATCTCGAAGGAACCAGGCATTTTATTAGATCGTACTGACATATTTAAAACAAAAATACTGACTGCAGATGGATACTATATACTACTAATAAAAGGAATGTCAACATTTTTCTTCAAAAATATACAATATCCTACTGGGTTACTTCTTGGCAATTGGGTTGGACTCATTTTAAAGCTGAACTACTACCTGTAAACATATCTTGGTTCTACAGTACTGACAATAGGTACGGTAGATGGTAACACTGACAGCAGGTGGAAGGGCTCAAACCTACTTGCGTCTGGAACGTGTCTTCGTCTTGGTTTGCTTGGCTCGTCGGTCAGCGCAGGCACGAACATTGTTTAGCAGATACCGAAACTGCAAGATCTGCATAGCGGTGACACTCGGATCGGAGCAACATTCAAGCCAACGAAGGAATTTCTCACCATGGCTGACTGCCTCAGCTGCCGTTGCTGGCGGTTCATCCTCATCCTCGTCGTCATCGGAGTCCTCTGTTTTTCCTGGGGGTTTTACGTTGTTATTGTCCTTCGCATTCAACAGTACACTATCCAGGGTCGATCGGGCATTAGTATTAGCATTGTTAGCAAGTGGTATCAGGAGACCATTGGCTTTCTGGAGTCCCGGGGCCAGAATTTCACTGTTTACCTTCTTCTCTACCTGCTGGAGGGGATCAGGATACTGTGAGAAACCATGACGCTTGTACCATCGCCAGAACCAACTGCCATCGGCCACGCCGTTCTTGTTGAGATCGGTAGCAGCCCCTTTGTTGTCCAACAATTGGCCAGCACTCATAGACAGGCCCACTTGCTGCTGTTTTACCCAGTACCACAAAGCCTCGTCGAGTTCGGGTTGAGGTTTCAGTTGTGGCTGTGCCGTTTTCGTGTGGTTCACTTCTGCCTCCGGGCGCGCTCTCTTCCGGTCAGATGGGCCGCCGTCAGTGACGTCGTCTCCTCCACCTCCCACTCTTGCCTCGCCTGCCCCCACGCTTTTGATATTGTCTTTGTTGTTGTCGGGATCCTCCACGGAGTGCTGTGATTCTGGGGTACCGCAAGAACGAGCGACGTTCCGGAGCTTATCTTCACTCTTGCACCAACCCCGCAACGTCGACTCTGGCACCCCGATATCGCGGGCCACGGACGCCTTTGATTCCCCATTATGCACCCGCTGAATGGCATCCAGTTTTTCTCTCACAGACAGTTGTCGAATTGGCCTCTTCACGGGGACCATGCCCTTCGCGGCCATCGTGGGGTCGATCACCACCTCTTGGAGAAATAACTTTCTCCGTATAACTTTTTCCTTTAAAAAATATTATCTCGTTTGTTCTTGTATGGTAGTTGTATGAGTTGATTCACAAATACAGCAGATAATTCGATGGCTCCACCCACTGTTTCGTATTGGCGCGAAACAACGACCAATCAGAGCACTTTTTACCACGCACACTTTCACTCGTAATGTAAAGTTATTAAAAACTTCCCGGCGCGGCGAAAACAAAAGTTTGAAAAGTTGAGTTGCGCGAGGAACGACTTGCTCGCGACTGTGACTGAATGTAGAAGGGAAGTAAAGCTGCACGCGGTCAGTTTGGGGAGTGCTTCGAGAAGGAAAGACAGGCAGGAAGGAAAGGGAAGGTCCTTTGTCCGATCAATAACCCCCCTAACCCACCACCACCACCACTAGCTTGCTTGCCTGTTGTGTGTGTGTACCGTGGGTCGCACGGCTGGTTCTGGCCAGGCAGGCAGGCAGGCAGGCCTGCATGGGTTGGGTGGACATCACTGCCCGCCCGCGGCCAGAGGGATGCAACCGCGAGAAGGGACGCGGGGAGAAAGGAAGGCGCGGTGAAGCGGGCCCGTTACCAAGCAACGTGTGGGGAGGGGAAGATGGCAGCTGCCTATGTGCACTGTGCATGCCCACGCTATTAGGGGGTGAGGTGAGGACAACTTGTTTTTTTTTTGTCCTATCTCGGTCTCTATTCCCAATATGGAACTTTGACATAGCCTACTTGTAACCCATTTCACTGATTAATTCCTCTGTGAATTTCAGTCGCCCAACATTTTGCATAAAAGTTACGAGGTCCATTGCGGAGGGGCTCTACTTTTGTTATGAAACCATATTTACGTTGTGATGCCTCCTGGCGCACGCTCAGTAACCACGTTTTCGTCTGAACTGACTGCACAATATATTACTCAGTAGCTTGTTAAGCGAGGGAGTACCACTTTTATTATAAAATCATATTTACAACCTAATTCAATTTGCTCTCACGTCATCAACTTGAGAATTCTACATATCGCCTGGTTCAGTGGCGCACTATCACGACACCGAACTGCCCGTGCACACGCGGTCTACAGTGAATCATATTTACATTCTCATTCACGCCACATCAGCGCCTGCTTCACGTTTATCTGTCTAATTTTCACGTCCGCGAGTTGAACCCGGCTGGAAGTAGTAGTTCCTTCTAATTCATTGCAGCACATGTCTGACGTCACACGGGCCACGGTGCCATTTCCATCCGAGAGACAGCTGTATTCATTGAACACGTTATTTTAACGACACTGTAATGCTTGCTACCATTCATTCCAGAACCTTTTGTCTTCTCGTTTGCTGTCCAAAAATATAAAAATTATAATATTCAAAACTATAATTTTTCCCGTGGTTCTGTATCCGTGTGAAACTTGATCTCTGACATTAAGGGAGGAACATAGACTGAGGGCATTTGAGAATAAGGTGCTGAGGAGAATATTTAGACAAGATGAAGTGACGGGAGGTTGGAGAAAACTGCATAATGAGGAGCTTCATAACTTGTACTCTTCTCCAAGTATAATTAGAATGATCAAGTCAAGGAGGATGAGGTGCACAGGGCATGTAGCACGAATGGGGAAGAAGAGGAATGCATGTAGGATATTGGTGAGAAAGCCAGAAGGAAAGAGACCACTGGAAAGACCAAGGCGTAGGTGGGTCGACAATATTAAAATGGATCTTAGAGAGATGGGATAGTATGGATTGGATTGATCTGGCTCAGGAGAGGGGCCAGTGGAGGGTTCTTGTGAACACGGTAATGAACCTTCGGGTTCCATAAAATGCTGGGAAATTCTTGAGTAGCTGCACAACTGGTACCTTCTTAAGAAGTGCTCAGCCCCGCAAGTATCAAATTAGGATAATTGTGTAGCGTCGAAACGGATGTCACGGGAAGGGGAACGCAGTCCCGAAACGATGAAGGCTTTGATGATGATGGATTTTCTGGTGGGACGGAGGAAAAGCATAGAAGGACACGGGATAGCCATTTCCTCTGTCGAGATTAAATCCCCGCATTTCCGGAGCACAGGACATGGATCCGCGGTGAGATTACATCTGTGTCCAATGGAGTATCATAATTTATACGAATATTATACGTTATATTTAGTGGTTCGCTGTCATTAGAAGATCTGTAGTACATGGCGTTGACTAGGTTGTTTACAGTGCCATGGTTTGTTTGGAATACAACCATACAAAAAAACAACGAACTCCGTGGCTTTAGTCCGCGAGCGAACTATACCGACCGAGCCACACACACTTTTTTTATCTCCCGTCTTTGTTTTCTCCTTCCTGTCTACCAAATGTGTCTCTCTAACTCCCTGTCTTTACATCTGTCTGTATACGAGTTATTCTGTAAGGTCTGTAGCTAGGCAATAGCTCGGTAAACGCACTTCCTAGGTAACACAGTCAACTATAGAACTTCGGTTTCTAGGGTTTTGATACGTGCAGTGTAACTTTAACTGATAAAAGCCGATATACATGATAACGAACTTCCAACAGAGTAACAGAGAAGAAGGCGATAACTCTACTGTTGAAGGTGATCTCCATACGATGCGACCAGAACCTACCTCAGGGAGAGGACTGTCCAACAGAAGACAAAATGCGACAGGACACAAAAATCCTTAGTTTATGTGATGTCATCATTGTTCGCAGTTACGAAGTCTTATAGTCACAGTAAGACTGTGTTACAGCTAATTGTAGTTCCGCCTGGTGAATATCCAGTAAATCGATTCATCTAATTCGGAACCCAGTAATTACATGTCGCGATACCAGGATAAGTGGCATTGCTTAATTCGTTAAGCTACACGCCATGAAGGCGTATGGGGGAGGAGCAGTATAGCTCCACCGTTCTTGACTCGGAAGTAGAACTAGGTGACTGGTCAGTGTGAAACCCCTGCCGCTTTTCCCCAGTACTTATTGGTAGGAAGCTGGGTGGAGCCTATAATCAGCCTGGACGTTATGGAGAAGAGAAAAATCTTGCCAGAAATCGAATCCCGGGCGTCCAGTCCGTATCCCATCACTATACTGACTGAGCTATCCCGGCTATATACACGGCCAGACAAATAGATGAAGAGACGGGTCCATCTCCCTTTCTGTCTATATGTGACACAAAATAATGTTGGCTAATGTATTGAACAATATTAGAATGGATCTTAGAGAAATAGGATGGGATGGTATGGATTGGATAGATTTGGCTCAGGATAGGGACCAGTGAATGGCTCTTGTGAACAATGAACCTTCGGGTTCCATAAAATGCTTGGAAATTCTTGAGTAGCTGCAGAATTGGCGGCTCCTCCAGAAGGGCTCAGCTCCATGAGAGAGTAAGTAAGAGTAATGTATTGAACAGAACGATAAGAGCCAGATACCGTCAACGTAATTTTAAGCATAAAGAATCAAAGTTTATGGAGAGCAGATGGTGATGATTTGTTTCGACTTTGAGGCAATTTTGTTGGCCATGCAGTGATCGCTAGATGTCACGATGGTCCTGTCCCTTTAAAGCAAAATGGTCTTTATATATGTATATGTACCATCTCCTGCTTAACATTCAAAAATCTGAATTTTGCCCACAAAACATATTAATGGATTTTCGTGTTATTCTTGGAGTAAACAGTGACTGTATCCCGAAACAGTATTGAGCGATTAATCTTTATATTTTAGACGCAGTTTTCCGTGGGATAAGAAAACTATTCTTTTTAATGTCATTTAGTCATATTTCAATATTAAAAAGGGATGATAGTGTATTTCATTAAAATTAATTCACATGAAGGTCGTAGCCATCGGATTTACCGCGGGCAGAAAATTTGCACGTGTCAGTATCAACACAACAGCTGCTGCCTTCGACTGAAACAACACATCACCAGTCCCTCGGAAGGAAAACACAAGCACAGTCATGTTTGCTCACGGCAAAAGGAAAACAAACTTCGATTATTGGCATTCAAAACAAATCTGCAAGTATATGGGCATTGCGTGTCTTGTGTTAACTAGTCACTCGATGGAACGCAGTTCCTGGTATGTGCATGAAACGTTGTGCCCAAGATACTAGAAAGCATAACTTNCCCCCCCCACGTTTGCTAAACATAACAACGAAATGTTTCACATAGATCCATGAGAGAGCGACCGCCTCTGTGGTCTAGTGGTCAGTGTTACTGTCTACAGATCCAGAGGTCCCGGGTTCGATTTCAGGCGCTACAAGATTTTCTGGAACGAGGTCCACTCAGTGCTGTGGGGATAATTGAGGAGCTATTTCAAGGAAATAGCGAATCCGTTCTAGAAAACCGAGATTAACGGCCGTGGGGATCCGTTGCGCTGACCACGCGACACCCTCTATCCGCTAAAGTTGGCACTAACTTCGCCGACAAGCGGCGGTCGGTCGGTCGGTATAGTTCGCTTGCGGACTACAGGCCACGGAGTTCTATGACAGAGCAATTCCCGTTGTGACGCTACTGGTTTACAATCGGTAGACGCATAGTTCGAATCTTGGCCGAGACAAGGGCTAATCAGGTCTGATATTTTTCGTGATTTCCTTAAGTCCCTACAGGCAAATGTTGAGTTCCTGTCTTAGATGACTTCCGTCCACGTCCATTCAAATTCATTATGCCCTCATCTGGCGCTGTATAATCTTACCGACAACATCGCTAAATAGACTACACAAATGAATGTATACGTCATATCACGTGTGAGAATTACGTTTCATTACGCCCTGTTTAATTTGTTAAAGCCGTAAAATGGATATAATATACTGCTTTTCTTTAACTAATAACTCGTCATAATTGTTTTCCCTTAATTTGTCTCTCTGTACAGTAAAATTATAATGGCGCTGCGTGAGATTATTACGTCGGACAAGCTAGTTGTAGGCAAGTGGATCTGCCAACAGTAGTCTGTTGTCAGGTGCCGCCATTTTTATGAAGAATGCTTACGTAATAGAGCTTCTAGAAAATCGTTTCTTTTTTCAGTAACGAAAGTAAAGTTATTCCTGTAACAGGCCGTGGAGGCCCATAGGGTTGTGAGACGTCGAGGCTCCCACGTTTTATAGACAATCGGCTCACAGATGGCGGTGAGGTCAGCGTTACGCGCTGGCCGTCTTAACCCCCAGGAAGTTTCCCGGTACTCATTTCTGTTAGAGGCTGAGTCGACCCCAGGGCCATAATGCGGCTGGAAGAATTTGGTAAATTGAAGAAATCCAATAATCTCATCGGGAATCGAACCCGCGACATTCCGGCTTGTAGCTTAGTCGGAGTTATGATTGATTGACGCTATGGTATTCGAAGCGTATCCCTTAGTACACAGATGCAGTTATAGGTACATAAGAACCGTGAAGTTAGATGAGAAGGAGGTTCTGTCATTAGTGCGCACCAGTTTCACTTCTGCATCGGTAGACAAGTGTGCATTCGAGTGCGTGCTCCCAGTGTCACGGTCTCCAAAGCGTCTAGACGGTCTAGACCAGCACAGCCTCATCCAGCCTCCTATCCAATAGGTTCCAGAATTCTACCTCCGGAGTAAAGGGCCTGAGCATGAAGCCGAATTATCACCTTGTAACACCGAGGTTAATATTACGTGGAATTGCACCGCCGGGATAGCTCAGTCGGTATAGCGACTGGCTACGGGCTGGACGACCGAGAGGTCGGAGTTCGAGTCCTGGTAGGATCAAGAATTTTCATTTCTCCATGTCTTCCAGACCGGCTGTGGGCTCCACCCAACCTCCTATAGAGGGTACCGGGGGGGGGCTCTTTCCCGGGGGTAAAGCGGCCGAGCCGTGAAGCTGGCTACTCACCTGACCCTAGTGGATCTATACATCCACTCCCCCATACGTCTTCATGGCGCAGTGCTTCATGAGTTAAGCACAGGGACAGCTTTACCTTTACCTTACCTCCCGATATGTCTGCTTGCGAGGTAATGAATTACGCAACAAATTTAAATTGGGCACCGTAAGAAAACATTGCCGATTTTAATGGGTCCCCGATCATAAAAATGAGCCGGGATAGCTCAGTCGCTGTAGTGAATGGGTAAGGACTTGAAGGCCGGATTCGATTCCCAGCAGGAGCAACACATTTTTATGTTTTCCACAGCGTCCGAACCTGCTTGGGGGCCTACCCAATCTCTTATCCAATGGGGAGCGGGGGCTAAACCAGCCGGGACGTGAAAGCAACCGCTCACATTCATCTAATGCCGACATTAAGAATGGTGGAGCTATACCTCCGCTGCTCCTTACGTCTTCATGGCGTGGTGCTTACTGAAGCAGAGGAAGATCACCGTTTTGCGTTTACCCCTATCCTAAAGCAGTTCGGAAACCTTGAAATGGAGGAAACGTGAATTAATGAGAATAAAGCACATTACGTAATAACCTGCGGAAGGGAGCATAGGAAACAGATCACACGTGCCAACTGCACGTCGCGCCCATTTAAAGGCACGGCCTTGGGACGGAAAGCGAAACAGTCGAAGGTCGCAACTCCACTTCCTACAAATGAAGTTCTGTGCGTTGTTTTCGTGTTCAAAATGCAGCGATTCTGGGGCGTTCGAATGGCAGGCAGTCTGCGAAACAAAGCTTTTAGCTTGTAGCGAATCGGTAATTACGTGCTTCTAAGGAACCCATGAAACAGCAGTGGAGCCTGGATAGTACAGTCTGTATAGCGACTGGCTACGGGTTGCAAGGCCGAGGGGTCGGAGATCGAATCCCGGTAGGGGCAAGATTTTTCTCCTTTCCACTTCTTCCAGACCGATTGTGGGGATCACCCAGCCTCCTATCCAATGAGTACATGGGATTCTTTCCTCGGGGGTAAAGCGGCCGAGGCGTTAAGCTGGCCACTCACCTCGAGTTAGTTCCGAGGTGAAGAATACGTGAATCTATACATCCACTCCCCCATATGCCTTCATGGCGTAGTGCTTAATCAGTGACGCATAATGACAGATTTACCTTTCACCCTGAAACAATATTAATGCTTTTTTTCTTTCGGTCGCTCTTTCATCCCATTTAGGGCTCTGGCCTCTTATTCAGTTCTGTAATCATTTTTCACAAACGGTATGGCTCCTTGGACGAGTGATCAGCCCATCGCAAGGCCGCTACCTACACACAGGACAATGCATACACACAATAAACATATACACCAAACGTCCATGCCCTAATTGGGATTCGAACCCACGATCCCAGCGTCCGAGCGAGCGAAGGCAGTTCATGCCTCAGACCGCGCGGCTACTGTGACCGGCGATTAAGGCTCACTGTGTCTTATATGATCTCAGGTTTTCAGGGCGATGAAAAATTTTCAGTCTTCTGGTTTATGACACGAATGCAGTCTGGCAAATGGATGCCAGTGTTTCGGAGGAATATACTGCTTCTATCTTTAGTGTAACTTCTGTTTTGCTATATACTTGCAAGAACGCACTGTGTCAGAATCAAGGAAACTGCAGTCTGTACACTCACCCCCACGAAAACCTCAAACTTGATTTTACTTGTTCAGAAATATTAACAAACCGACTAAAATACAAAATTCCATTATACCTGGTTCTGCCCCTAGCGACAGGTGCGTGAATTATTGTGGGAACTGCAGTCTCGCTGGGGCCTGATGCAGTGGTGGACAGCCACGTGTTGGCGAGACGCGGTAGTCAGTTGGGAGTTCAGTTCTGCCATTTTGTTCCTGGGTGTGCTCTGGCAGCTTGACCTTGTGACTGCACATACAGCCGTCTCAGTCTCAAATAAGTTCTGACAACAGCGCTACATTCTTCCGCCCTCGCTGGGGAATGCTATGCGACACGCAGGCGTGACTAAATGTCATCAACTCCCTGCAGCACCCTGTCTATTATGCAATGTTCATCGCAACGAATCCCCACGGCCGTTAATCTCGGTTTTCTAGACCGGAGCCCCCATTTCCTTGGAATAGCTCCTCAGTTATCATCACGAGGCTGAGTGGACCCCGTTCCAGACCCACTACTTCTCACAATATCTGGTAGCGCCTGCAATCGAACCCGGGGCCTCTGGATCTTTAGCCAGGAACTCTGACCACTAGACAACAGAGGCGGTCAAACAAATAAATAAATAAGACGACGTTACATAGTTCATATTCGCTCTAATACATAAAACCTATAGTCCGTTAAGCGATACTGCGTATTGTTACGATGAGCCTGGGTTGTTGAAGACAAATGTGAACGAGCTTTTTATCTGTTTACCGTCTACCCAAAGCTGCGACCGACAGTAGCTTCTCCCATCTGCCAACAGCTGGGGTTCCCACAGCGACGGTGAACACTTTCATCTGACCGGATTGTACGTCATTCTTTCGTGGCTTGTAAAACTGCGGGGTTCCACTTTCGATACGACGTATGTAACAAGGATGGCCAAAATATGATATCCAGGGACCAGGGTCGGTATTTCTGGCAAACTTGACTTTATACGTTGATAGGTTACTGAGCCGGTAAACATATTTGCCTAGTTTTATGAAATCCAGGAGTTCGTTATCGTGTTTACAGAACCCGTCCTTTTGGACATTACCAGAGAAAATCAGTAATGGACGTAATAGATTTTCTATATGTATCACTAGGTAGCAGCACAGTCCAGCTTCATGACAGTCTAGGTAGCAGACGCGCATGCGCATGTTCGGAGGTTGGTTTCAGTAGTCAAAATGGTGACCGTGATTGAGAAGTGTACTGCCGAACAGTGGCATTCGCTTTGTTGTTTTTTTTGTTTGTTTGTTTTTGTTTTTGGTCAAAAGAATTCAGTGCAAAGGATGTCCATAAATGAATATTTCCTGTTTACGGTGCAAATTGTTCACAGCTGGGTCGAGAAATTCTCTCAAGGACGAAGAGGTTGAAACTGGGGTGCGGAAGTGGCTGACACGGCAGTATAAAGACTTCTGTGCTGAGATTTCGACGTACTGGTAAAGCGGTGTGCAGTTTAAAAAACGTAATTTCAAATAGCGTAACAATGTTGGATTTAATGTTCTCACAGTGGTAATTAGGAACAGTAGGCTATCTTCCGGAATGTGACACAGTGTAGTCCGGTAGTTCACGGACGTTTCGGAGGAACACACTGCCTTCATCTTCAAGGTCTAAGACTAAGCTCTGCTTGCCGATTGCTTCTAATTGGTTATTTGCTTAGATTTCTCTTTGACCCTGAAGACGGAGGCAGTGCGTTTCACCGAAACGTTGATGACCTACCGGACTATATCCAAGAAGGTAGTACTCAGTGTAACTAGTGCATGATTCTGCGCCGAAACAAATTTGTGGAACATTTTTTCTTTCCATGCACTGACAGTGTGGATACTTTACCTGGAACAGACTGTCCTTCAGTACCGTAACTGAAAGTCTGAAGTTCCTTATCGGGCCTGTACTTTTATTTAGGGAATGAAAGGTATTTTGATGCAGTTTACAGCCACTTGAAGAAGTTAGTTCTCGTCGTGTGATGGGTACAGCGCAGCTGTAAGCTCATATGCTTTTCCGATAGATCTATCATAGCTATGGGACTCTGTCGTTCTGTTGAGCAAGTTGGTTCAGGAGGTAGGCCTTCTGACTTGTATTCAGAAGGAAACTGGTTTGAATCTCGGAAATAACACCGGATATCTTGAGTTTTTTGTGGATTTCCTTAGTTCCTCCAGAAAAATGGCTGAATGGTACCTAAAATTTGGTCACTACCACTTCTTTCCAGTCGTCCTATCATTCGACACTGTATTTTGTCTGATTTGAGGAGCTACTCGAATGGAAGAGCAGCGGCTCCGGTCTAGAAAACCGAGATTAACGGCCATGGGAACCCGTTGCGCTTACCACGCGACACCCTCTATCCGCTGAAGTTGGCACTAACAAGTGGCGGTCGCTCATTCGGTATAGTTCGCTTGCGGACTAAAACCACGGAATTTGTTATTTTTGTTGTTTGTATAACCCATCTCGACAGCAAGCGGCTGTCTCTCGGTCGGTATAGTTCGTTTACGGACTAAAGCCACGGAGTTGTTGTTTTATAACCCATCTCAAATATCGCCCCTTAACGGGTTTTCGTTGTCATTTCTAGGATTTCATTTCCTGTATCGGTATCTTTGCCGATTTTAAAGTTTCCCCATAAACCTACATGCTTTAGGATTTCCCCTAGGAACACCATTTCCGTCTGTTTGAAGTTCATAGATTATTTAACAACATTGTAAAGACTGCTGAAGTTATCACAGAATGAGTTGTGAGGATGTTTATGTACGGCGACATGGAAAGTAAAGGATGGAAACGGCACCTATTTCAGTGGGTACCCCAGTCTCTTTCCCTGGGGTTGCAGCAGCTGGACGCGAAGCTGATCGTTCACCTCTATGTATAGTTGAGTCGCCGAAAGAATCCTCACGGGTGGTGGGAGGGAGCGCCTGTTCCCCCACTCTACTATCCTGTCCTTCCTGCGCGTGTAGACGGACTAACCCAGCCAAGAGGAGAGGAAGAGCAGAAGCAGATGAAGGGATGGCAGAAGGAGTGGGGGGTGATCTGTGAGAATTCTTTCCACGACTTCATTATAGTTCCGATGTTAAGTGGGGCGCTGCACCCCCTCACCAGGAGCCTGGATAGCGCAGTCGCTATAGCAACTGGCTACTTTCTGGACGGCCGAGGGTGTGGAGTTCGAGTCCAGATAGGAGCGAGATTTTTGTCTTTTTCACGTCATCCAGACCGGTTCTAGGGCCCACCCAATGGGTACCGGTGGCTCTTCCTCAGGTGGTAATATGACAGGGTCGTGAAGCTGACCACTCACCTTCAACCACTGTTGACCCCAAAAATAAGTGGATCTATACATCCACCCCCGTACGTCTTCACGGCGTAGTGCTTAATTAGTTAAGAACACGGACAGCTTTACCTTACCTCTCTCCATAACGTCTTCATGGCATGGTACTTAATTAACTATACAGGACACATCTTTTACCTGCCAAACTTATTTTCATGTTCGTTTATTTACTGATAGTCTATCCCTAACTTTTGTAATAAACGTATTGGTCAGCGGCCCTAAAACATAGGACGTCGTTTGTTTCTAGAGAGTCATCTGTTATTTGTACTTGCACCATGGATATGCTCCGTATTTACTGACTCTACGACAAATTTTGCCAGAAGCTTGTTGAAGCAGCAGAACGCCAGACAGTGCTCATCACGAACATGTCACGCGTGCGTGCGTGGCCGGCGTGGATATTGGGGTCCAGTTCACTCGATAGCAGTGAGAACCGGACGGCGTGTTTGATTTTGCGCGCATGTTGCGTTGCAGGTAGCCGAGTTAACAGGAGTGGTGGGACTTGTAATTAAGCCGTCTGTGCTACCCTAGTTTAACAGGAAATCAATGCTTGTAACAAGCATGGGTTATAGTCCGGGTGCTGTGGCTTCGAAACCCTCCCAGAACATTCTGCACTGTGGCTTATCCTACTGTAAGAAAAGATTTACACGCCTCTAACGAGTTTCAACTTCGAACGACACGACTTACGTGACGTCACATTATAGTGTTCACATTCTTTCTTCAAAGATTCTTAAAGTTGTCCCTGCGCTTAACTAATTAAGCACTATGCCATGAAGACGTATGGGGGAGTGGATGTATAGATCCACATTTTCCTGACCGCTGCAATAGCTGGAAGTGAGTGGTCAGCTTCACGCCCCGGCCGCTTTACCCCCGGTACCCATTGGATAGGAGGTTGGGTAGACCCCAGCGCCGTTCTGGACGACGTAGAGAAGAGGAAATTCTTGACCCTACCGGGACTCGAACTCGTCCATCCTGAAACCAGTCGCTATACCGACTGTCCTATCCCAGCTCCATGTTATCCAAAAGGGCAGGGTATGTTATCGCAGGTTCGGGATTGGAACTCTGGATCTTCCGCGTGTGAGATGACGCAGAGTTCTAGTCTCTAAAGCGTGACCTTTGTGTTGATGTTATTGGCGTCATCTTGTAGTAACAAACATTTAAGAGCATTTCACGCTTGGCGCGTCGATGCTGTCCCGAAAATATGCGTCTGTGCTTGTTTAGAATAATTGTTAGGATGCAGTTCGCTTACCGAAGTTCCAAAGAAAAATTCTGAGAATTCTCTGGCACTCTAATGACTAAAAGAGAAGTCGTGGCTAAGCACTTACCGAGGTGAGGAAGTACGCGTAATGCAGGAACATAGCGTCATATTGTGAGGCTCTGTGAGTCGTGCTGTGTAGCCTATACTGCAACGTGACAACAGATAGACGTACTAATCGTTGTAAGAATTAAAGCTAAGGTAAAGTTGTCCCTGTGCTTAATTAATTAAACGCTGTGCAATTAAGACATATGGGGTAGTGGAGGTTTTTAACTTCAGCACTAAATGGAGATGAATGGTAAGCTTCACGCCCCGGTCGCTTTACCCGCCCGGGAGAAAGAGCCCCCGGTATCCATTTTATAGGAGGCTGGGTGGGCCCCAGAACCGGTCTGGGGGCTGTGAAGAAGATAAACATCTTGCCCCTACAGGGAATCGAATTCCGGCCGTTCAGTTCGTAGCCCGTCGCCTGCTGTCATTGTAAGAAGTAGCTCGTGTAATTACACTTTCATTCGTAAAATAACTGTGCAGATCCTGATGATACAGCATCGTTAAATTAATAAGTAATCACGGCTTCGCGACACCAGTTTACCTACACAAAGCTTCGCCAGATCCTGTAATACGTGCTAATGCATTCTGCGACAGGGCAGGGATAGATCTTTCGAAACGTCG